AAGCATGTGAATTTTCACTAAAACATTTTAGCCGTTTTTTGCCAGAGTCTATGTGAAATTTCACTAAAACATTTTAGCCGTTTTTAGCCGCTTTTTTTTGCCAATCTAGCCGGTCGGCCCAAAAAGTTCTGGCAACACTGCATATGATCGACAATTTTTCATGTGGAAGAAATGCAACATCCTAAGCAAAAAAAATTGTCAAAAATTATCGAGAATTTTGAGCTAAATACTTCAAACTTTTAAAAACTATACTTAAATTTAATGGGCTATGAAAATTCATACACGAATTTTTATAAATCTTTACAAAATTTGAATCTTTTAGTTTTATGGTTATCGTTGTAGTATGCAATATATTAAAGAGGAAAATATAAAAAAATTGTCAAAACTTTAAAAAAGAACTGGTGTCCCTAATTATATGGCCACCAATATGTGTTTTCATTTATATATACATACCGTTTATTTGTAGTTCACAACATAGCCATAACTGCAACCAGCTCGTCCTGAAGCTAAGTCCCACGTGCAGCTTGGAAAAGATAAAAAAATGTCAAAAATCATCGAGAATTTTGAGCTAAATACTTCAAACTTTTAAAAATTATACTAAAATTTAATGGGATATGAAAATGCATTTTTCTAGAAATTCTGATTGAAAAGTTTGAAATTTTGATGGACTATGTCAAGTTTTTATAAATCTTGTACAAAATTTTAAACTTTTAGTTTTATGGTTATCGTTGTAGTATGAAATATATTAAAGAATTGTCAAAACTTTAAAAAAGAACTGGTGTCCCTAATTATATGGCCACCACTATGTATGTTGATATATCCATGCATACCGTTTATTTGTTGTTCACAACACAGCCATAATTGCAACCACCTCGTCCTGAAGCTAAGTCCCACGTGCAGCATGCAAACGCCGTTGGCGTTCATGGCAACACCAACTGGTTTTAGGACGATCTTGCGTGCCTATCGTGCGTTTTCAGAAAGAGAAATGAGTGCACACGTCAACTGCCATATTTTCCCTCGCTTTACACAGTTTTATCTACAATAACGAGAATGCACAAGCTTCGGCTGCATTTGCTTGCACGTCGTTCTGAGGGCTTCCACTCAGTCAACTAGTTAGCCAACTAGCGAGCTGAGTTTTGTTTTATTTTCTGGTATTTTTGCTATTTCGCAACAACAGTTCAGCTAAAATGTCACAAAGTGTCATTCATTATAGCATGCACATAGACGAACATTCGTTTATAAACGAATGCAGGCGGTTTATACGCATGGCTATGCGACAACCGCAGTCCCAAATGGTTGCTGTGTCAAAGTCGAAGCGGCGCGTTGCACTTGCTGTGGTATGCGTATCATGTAATAACTCTAGTGCAAGCGGTTGCGCCACTGTTAGTTACTAGTTTGAATGCAATTCGATTGCCCTTCTATCGTTGACATTTGCAGTGGTAGTATTAATTGGCGTGAAGGGTTCCGTTTGTTGCTTTTGTGCCGCCGAAACGCCAACGCTGCTACTACCTTTATCAGCAACATAAATTTACAATTAATGGCCTTTCGTCAACACCTTGAAAGTATAAAAATATTAACCCAGCCAACCGAGAAACGTACGTTTTGTCAACAGGGCGGTTTTCGTACAGAAAATGTACAGAAAATGGCTTCGATTTTTTATACCCGAGCGCACATGTGCACACGGTATTATACCTTTGTTCGCATAACGGTTGTTTGTAACAGCCAAAAGGAATCGAGATAGATATAGAGGCATTTCATGTCACCGCGGCCACCTCTGTGCGCGACCTAAAAGGATTTGGATGAAAGTTGAAGAGATGGAATGTCTAGGTGACATGAATATACGTGCCGCATATTTGGCCGATTTGACGTAGGGTTGCATATTTACACGGGACTTAAATTTTAAGAAAATGTCATACATACCTTTCTTTAAAGTGCTGTATCTTGGAAACCTTTTAACGCGACTTAATGAAAAAAAAATGTATTTCTTCCGTCTAATTATGGGCTTTAATTGTACATTTTTTACATTAATGTGCAACGTATAAAAAACAAAAATAAATTAAGCAAACATTTTTCTTCTTGATTTTTTGTTTATTATAGCATTTTTTTT